ACTCAATTTAATAATATTCAACATCATCCTGAAATAAGACTAAAAAAGAAAGTATTTTCGAAGTAAATTCTCATTATGCACATATTGGTGCCGCAATTAAATTGTTAATTTCAAGTGCTGAATTATCACGTGCTTAGCGGTGAAGGAAAACATCGTGAGGAAACCTGCATATTTTCGACATAATAACAAAAAAAAATTCGAAATATGTGAAGTCCGCCAATTCGCAGTGGGGCCGCGTGGTGGACTATGCCCTGGTACCTTCTACATAGAGGAGGCCTTTGCCCAGCAGTGGTTCATGTATAGGCTGATACTTCACTTTTTACTGTATGTACATAAAATATGCTTACGAGTGTTTTCAATAACACTTCTATTTGTTCAAATATTTATTAGAGATTGCGCAAAATATTAAGGACTGTAATCCTCTACGCGGTGAAAACTCCTTGTGAAATTTTTATGAGTACCTCGATTTTTATCGTACTATCAGTATGTCCAGAGGTGGAAAGCGGTCCAAATTGCCTCCTCAAATATTACTGTATGTACCCTCACACTAACTCCGCCGGTGGCTACAGGAGATTTATATTTACAAGCCAATGGTGTGAAACTGCATACACTCCACAGATAATAGTAATAATTTATTAGCGGTTATTTCAATATTACAAACAGACACTCCATTTTTATTAATCTGTATAGATTAGATTAACAGTGGTAACCCACGCAACAGTTTACTGTTCCACGAATAGGCAGGTCCGTCCGGGGAAGTACCACGACAAAACAGAAGACCGGCGTGAAACGGAAGTGGTATAATTCGGCGTTTCGTCTGATGAGTGATGTAGCCGGGGCCCGCTTTATTAAAATGTGGCAACGTTCTGCCACCAAACGGGAGTTGCAAATGTCCATGGGTGGCGGTGATCACTTAACACCAGGTGAACCAATAGTTCGCTTGGCACCTTCTCACATAAAAGAAAATGGTACCGGTCCGGGATTTGGAACTAAAGTTGCTAATACTGAATTGGAAGCGGGCGCCGGTATACTAAGCTACTATGGCCCATAAATATAATGGTTCTTACGTAAAAATTTCCATTTAACTGACCACGTTTCAAAATCTGCCACAAGTCGCTAGCCGATTACAGACCGTTACCGGTTTAATTAGACACTTGATGTGGGTATCTCAAGAGTAGCAAGCTGCTGCGTTCACCAACCGAATGGATTGGTGTTTCCAACAATATTCATAATACATAGAAAATAGCGCGGCAAATCGTTTTGAACGTTATGCGAATTGTATCACTAGGACACAATTAGAATTGGAAATGTTTAACGGATGACACAGATAAAACAATAGAGACGAAATTGATACAAACACTCGTGTTATCATTAATGTACAAAACATAAGATTATAGAATTCAATCATTAGATTCAATACATTTAAACAAATTAAGTTTCCCATTTCTTTATAAATTAAGCGTTGAAGTGTTAAAAACATTATAATGTAGGTGTCTGTGTAGTGAAATAGACGAAGACAAATACACATACAATTAAAACAAAAACAACATAGCATGATGTATGGTAATATAAAGGGTAAATAAAAAATTTGGAACAACTTTTTGAACGTGAGGAATCCATTAGTATGTGTGTGTTAATGTGTGACACTTTTTAAGTGACTTAGTAATAGATTTTGAATGCATACAGGTAGAATTTTTTTATTTTTTTTATTTTATCAAAATGTTTGTCCTCATTTAAGATACCATTATCCTGTGTTGTAACGACGTTTTACAAACATAAATTGCACGAGGACAAACACCCAGATGCGTAACAACTATCTGTGGGTCGCACAAATAGTTGTCCCGTGTGGGAATCGAACCCACGACCCCCGACACCGAAGCCAATATGTTGGCAACTGCGCCACGGATTCATTTTTTTGGCTTCTTTAAATGTTTTTTTTTTCTGAATTAAAATGGGAATAAACATGTGAAATAAATGATATTATTACAATCTGAAGTATTGACGTAAAGACGACAGGCGGGGACGCGTGATAAGCATGTCATGTTGGGGAAATACCAATAGCAGTAATCTCTCTAGACAAAAACATGCGTAAGATTATAAGTTTTTGGTATTAAGCTTTAGTTTATAAATCTTATCCTTTAAACGAGCAATTCTTGTATGGAATCTCGGAAACGGCTCCAGCGATTTTCATCAAATTTAGTATGTGCGTAGATTCGGGGGCGAAAAATTGATCTAGCTAAGTTTCATTTTAGAAAATGTCCCTTTATGCCTGTTTTCAGGGAATGAAAAATATCATTCGAATATGACAGTAAATTTCGCCGCAAAAAAAATGTTACGATGTACCAGATCATTTTCTTCATTTTTTATTTTTTTTATTTCCAAAATACATGATTTACAAAAAAAAAAGAGCAAAGCTCGGTCCTCCACGTACCTACTTAGTTATTAATTCGTAAATATACATTACATTTTTATATGTGAACTGGCTTAATCTGCGTATGTTTGATTACAATAACATTCTAACCCGAAACACGAGTCTTGGTGCGTGCTTATTATTTCTCCTCTGCTGGTTTTTAGGGTTCCGTACCAGGAGAAACTCTACAACGATCCATTGAACTGGCGCAGGATAGGAGCAAATGGCGACAAGTTACATATGGTCACGATCCTCTTTAGTGGGAGAACGACGAAGAAGACCCAAAAGTTAAAATGTTATTACTAAGACTCCGCTGTCTGTCTGTCTATCTGTCTGTCTGTCTGTCTATCTGTCTGTCTGTCTATCTGTCTGTCCGTCTGTCACTAGGCGGTATTTCATGAACCGTGACACAGATGATGTATTTCTGTTGCCGCTATAACAACTAAAACAAAAAAAACAGAATAAAAAATGTTTAAGTGGGGCTCCGATCCAACAGACATGATTATTTTGCCATTTTTATAGATATGAGAATGGTACGGAACCCTTCGTGCGCGAGGCCGACTCGCACCTGTTAAATTAACATATACGTAGGCGCTCGCGTGAATCATGCACGTGTTGTCTTATATCGAGACTAAAGGTGACAAAAACCTGGATGGATAAAATTTAATTAATAAAACCTGTATCGCGTTACCAAAAAACTAAATTTGCAACTCGAACCGGTCATTCTGTACTAAATGTATCAAATATTACATTATAATAAGTGAACAATGGACAGACAGTCGGAGGAAAGACCCATATACGTTTTTCGACAATGATGTCGTAGGCGCTTTTTTTAAATATTGCTCTTATTGTAGAATAACATTATTGTGTTGTAAGAGCGTTTTACAAACATAAATTTCACGTGGAGAAACACCCAGATCCGAAACAACTGTCTGTGGGTCACATAAATAGTTGTCCCGTGTGGGAATCGAACCCACGACTCCCGGCTCCAAACCAATACCTTAGCAACTGCGCCACGTGGAGTCAGACTGAAGGAGAAGCGCAGAAGTGTATAAAGGGTCAAATTTATGTCTTCAGTTATGACGCGGTATTACCCCGTTTGTTGGCCATTCCGCTAAACACAGTATTAAGCTTATTTCACTCTGCCGCAGTAATACTTTTCTTTTACAGTAAACAATTTATTATATCCAACTAGACTCGGTGGCGCCGTTGGTAAGCTATTGCATCGGCGTCGAGGGCCGTGGGTTCGATTCCCACACGGTACAAATGTTTGTGACCCACAGACAATTGTTCCGTATCCGGGTGTTTGTTTCCCAAGGAGGGTTGACGTTGGTCAGGCATAGGTTAACTGCTGCCCGTAGGGGGATCGAGAGGGGTGCCGTGTCCCTTGCACCGATACGGCACCATTTGGCTGGACCGGGTGTCTAAAGACCCGGAGAGAGGAGGCCTTAGAAGGCCACAGTCGCGCCGGGGTTCGCGGAAGTTTGCGTTTTCGTGTTCCCGTGTCCCCGGCAAAAGCGACAGCGCAGGTGCAACGTGGGTTTTTTAGTGGGTACCCCCGTATCCTGGGGACTCCCACATACCCTCGCTGTCTACCCACAAGGTGGTAGGAAAAAAAAAAAAAAAAAAAAAAAAATGGTCAGGCATAGGTATAAAACATAGCTTACAACGTGATTCACATGTTGTGAACTCAACACCTCGGTGAAGAAGCGCAGAAGGATGATGATGATTTGAATTTGAATTATACATCATCATAATTTCAGCCTGTTTGAGTCCACCGCTGAACATAGACCTCGCCCTTAGATTACCGCGAAGTAATCCTGAGCCATCATCGTATAAGCGGTATGGTGCAAAGAACGCTAACCGCGTTTCCTCGCTGTATAGTCATGCTTCTTTTCAGTTTTTTTTAACGGCCGGATTTCACAAGACACGATAAAGATCGCCGTTTTGATAACAACACCGCGTGTAGAGTCTTGAGCACTGCGCATCTCGCATTATCACCTAATCTACTTTGCGGACGCTGTGTAGGCTCGCGATAACGGGTCGAATAACATCTTGCGTGTTTCTCCATCTGTAAATCGATTTGGATAGTGGCGACTAGATCACCATATCGGCCTATATGTGAACGCCAAATCTAAGTCAGAACCTTAGAAGCATTTTTTATGTATCGAGGTCTTCAAAAGATTCCCGTGCCCAGAGAGAGGGTTATGTGTATTTGTATTTTGTGTGGAAGGGTTTAGGTAGTAAATCCCAACGACAATTGCGAACTAGGAAGATCTATTATAGTCTTTCCTTTGAAATTTCCCCGTTACGTCCTACAGATAACATTATCCTCAGTTGTAAGGTTTTACACGTATAAATTTCATGGTTTTACATGTAAAATTGGGTCACACAAATAGTTGTCTCGTGTGGGAATCGAACACACGACTCGCGGCGCGGAAGCCAATACCTTGGCGACTGAGGCAACCAGGGTAATGTGAGGATTGTACTCACTAAAACACTCTCAGTGCCCAAGGATACTGCGTTAGGTGCGACTCAATGGAATGCATTGATGTGTCTCTTATCTGAGTCTATATTTATCCAGAAAAAGATGACACGTCCCTCTGCTCCCACCCCAAGCTTCAAAAAAAAACATGGTCACTTCTTCTTTCACTCTAGCCGCAAATGCAAATTTCCAAACGACGTTGACTTATAATCCTGAAATCTCCTTTGTGTCGCGCTGGTCCATATATGAGAATACTTAAGCGATATTTGATATGACTGCCACAACTTGACAAATAATTCTAGAACCAAACCGCATCATCGAAAGCACTAATTAAGTATATTCTGTAACGCATTTCTCTTTTCAAAATAGAACTATTAAATAATGCATTATCTTAATCGCTTCAGTCATGCTCTTCATGCTTTAAGGTACATCAACATTACAAAATCTATAATTCTTAATAAGACTAAGACTTGCTTCAACATTTTAAACTACTTTTTTTTTTCTTTGTTTATCTCGTCAAGTAATATGGTGCAATGAAATCGATATACAACTAATGAGACGTGCAAGTGCCGATACAGCCACTTGAACACTGCTCCATCCACACATTCAACAGCTGACCGAAACTTTTTCAGGTACACCTGGCCGGGGCGGCGGCATCTGCCGCGGCTCTGACGGCAGCAGGGCGGTAGAAAGGGGGGCGGGGAGGTGTGGGGGGGCTGCGCGCAGCCTCCGCGGCGCATCTCCTACCGGCAACGCTCACGGCTTAGCTGGGCCGGCCGCTCAGTCTAGCTCGCGCCGCGCACACGTGCACACGTGCCGCCGCGTCCACACCGCCAGTGCACCGAGCCTCCACGACGACGCCGCCACCGAGCACCCTCGAACCACAGCCCGGGATGCGCTCCTGACGGCTCGCCCCGCCCCCGACCACCCTCAACAATCGCCCCACACGCAAGTGAGTGCCCCCGCCGCCAAACGTCCCACCAGACGCTCTCAGCGCTACCCCACCAGCAAAGGTGCTGCCGGTGCCGAACTGGTAATCACCGGAGTCAAGTGTGGAGTGAGGTTGATGCAGGAGTAAAGTCAGTTGCAACTGTGTTGCCAGTGCGGAATGTTCTCATTATTCGTGTACCATGAACTAACCACCACCGAATTCGCGGTTAGTGCCCACCGGTTAAGTTTTGGAGCGGTCTGTTTGGTAATGCGAAACTCACCACCTTCCGCACGTAACCGAAGAGAAAAGTACACTTAAAGCGGGTACTCGCATGCACTAACTTTTGTTACTAGTTACAATCCACCACCGAAGGGATCCTAAACAAAGTGTCACCGGCTTACGTATTTTATATGCTTTCAGTGTCTGTTAAATTAACTTTAGAAATTCATTAAAACTATAACTAGATGAGAGATTACGCGATTATAGGATTACGTACAGACCCGAGAACCAGTAAACCTGTATAAAATATCGATCAGTTTATGCAGTGTAGAATTCTGCGATTAACTACCTAATAATTAAGATCATCCCGCGTGATCTCTTGATGAATTGTTCGGAAAGTATTCAAAATAGTGACACGTAAATATGAATACTCTATAACAGTCAGTTGACATAACACATATTACATAAATATAGATATAAATACATATTACATGTAACATTTATTTTTTATAAAATTCATCCAATAAAGGACTTGTTTAACTGTTGCATGCACGTCGGTCAAATTTTAAAGGTCCCACAAGACATCTCGCCCAATTGAACTTGATTGCTAGATATTTTATAAGACCCGAGCAGTGGTACAATTATAGGAATTAACAGAACCAGCTATTTTTATAGTGGTTTATCACTTTTGTTATGTAACACGTAATCTTTTCAACTTTTAGTAGTTTTTAACTTTATCGCGAACTACTAGATGTGGTGAGCTATCCGTCTAGTCAAAGATCGGAACAGAACATGAACAGACCTTTATGCCTCTTGCTCACTGCATTATGAATTCGTTCCCATCCTGATGTTAGCATGTTTGTATTATTCAGAATAAAACATAAGGTCCCATCCGAGTATCTCTGACGTAGAAGTACCAACAACGTAGAATTAATTCTTATAGGCATTATATATCTATACAAACACAACATAACTATTTGCCTGATTATTAAGACACATCTTTATTTATATTAGAAATTACTTAAATGGTGTCACATAAAATTTATGAAATCGAAAAAAAAATCAAATATTCCTTTTTAAACAAAATTCTTTTTTTTTTCGATTAACTTCAACTCCGTTATTTTTTTAAATAAAATCGTAATCTTAAAAATTAAAAGCCTATTTTTATAATATATTCTATAATTCTATATGATAACTCGGCGTGTAGGTTGTTGCTATTCCGTAATTGCATTCAAATACGTTCAGCCGTTGCGCCGTAAAGTGGAAACGAACTCACACACAAGCTTCCGCATTTATATTATGTATCAATAAGAACTATAAATAATTGCTATGATTTATAATTGTTTTAACTTAGTACAACACCCATATACCAATAAGTTATGACAATATGTTTGACAAAATGCATAATTTCCTTGTATGTACGGTGTTGTCCACATTTAACACTAACAGGATAAAGTTACACGAAATATGGAATCAAACTGTAACCAATTCCCGAACATTTGTACCAGTAAAAGTAACATTTGTACCAGTAAACAGTGAATAATTCAAAGTCAAAATTGTTATATCCAGTTTATAATTGCAAACTTGCCAAACTTGGACCAATCCAGAAAATAGTTGAGTACTGATTTGACCTGCGTAGTTTTTAATGGATAATGTCACCCGATCTCGCGGTTCTTGGTAAGACTTTTGGGACGCCAGTCTAATATTTGATTCTCTGCAATGCCAATGATTAAAATTGTTCGTTACTTTTTTGATCTCACGCCTAGAATGTATAAATGTCTTCATATGGTGTTTATAAGTGATTCATTTACACCTCCCTCTGCTCTCTTTTTTATGTCTCTTTGGCAAAAATTCTTTTTGCAACGGTTGTCTGGAAGAAATCGCTTTCTGTGCGATAAGACCGCCTATTTTACTTCCGTTTACATTCATTTGTAATTTGCAATTTGCATTTTATATATTTTTTTGTGTACAATAGTATAAATAAATACCCAAACCCCAAACCCGTGGGTTCTGACTAGCCCACCGGTTCTGCGTCAGATGAAGCTTTAATAGTCTCGGGACTGAAAGCACAAACATCAGTTAATACAAGATTAATACAAGATAAATAAATAAAAGAACTAGGACATCCTAAACGAGAAAGATATTGATTGCAAATCTGTAATCGTAAACGCTTGACTGTTATAAAATAAACAGGAAATTAAATAAGAATAACTAATTTTCATACTTCCTGAATACACTTTATTCGCATGAACGTTGTTTTTATTGACCCTTTATGTAAATAAAAAAAAACACTTGCGTGAAAAAAACACATAAAAATGACAGGTCTTCCTTATACGGGCATTATTATTGTAATAAATTATTAACATACCACAAATATCAAAGAAGATAGTATCAAATACATAGGATAAAAAAATTACATCGCACATTAATAAAATGTATGCCGACATTTATGAACATAGAATATAGAATCTAAAAATAGAAGGAAAAAAGAAAAAAACGAAGACAGTCCACTTTTCATTTTCCCGCGTAAATGTTAAGCGCGGAAGTGCATCCAATTTTCTCGGTATAATGTTGAGAAAAGTTAGACTTAGGAATGCGCAATAAGCATCATAAAGTTAAACAGAGGAAAAATTTATATTGTTGTTTAGACAACATTTGTTCATCTTACAATATACATATGTAGAGTTGTCAGGTATATCTGTATTTATTTTAGAAATACGCTTCGAATCTTATGTACTGTAGTTCATTAAGTTGCAATAATATTCAAAATACAAACACAAAAATATTACATCAAAACATAGACAACAGTGTTGTTAGTACAATAACGTAGGTTGGTTTGTGTCTTTGCTTTTAATTAGCCTTCCTGAAAGACAATTTCTCGTAGCATCCTGTATTTGTAGCGTCAGCAACAAACGCAGGGTTACCGACACTGTGATGTTTATTAATTACGAACAGCAAGCAATGCGTGATATATTATATTCGACTACTATAATCATACAACTTAAAGACCTAGCATTAGATTCTAGAGGACCGCAACAGCTAAAATGATTTTAACTTAATTCCAATCAGATATTCGGCAGCCTAGTATGGTGTTTCCAGTAGATATACAGGTCCTATCCTTAATAGCTTTTATGTTTAACATAGGAAACTTTAGATCGCGTAAAAATTAACTTTCACTTTAAAACTGCCGAGTGTGCGCCGCGGATAAAAGCTATCGTGCCTGTACGTGTTGGTGGTGGACCTACATACAAATAAATAATCGAATAATCACCGCGTCCGGTGGAAACATTGATAAAGGAGGGAATTTCAACCGCTACCGATCCAAATAACGTGATTATGATATAAAACTTCATGTAGAACCCTCATTAACAAATTTTTTTTAAGATTATTTGAATATTTTTTGTTTTGATTATTGAATATAATTTTCCTAGTTTGAATTAAAAAAAGCGCGTTAATAAAAAGTAATAATAGATATTTTTAACGCTGGTTTTATTGCTGAACTTATTAAAATAAGGGGAGTCATAAGGTCAAGTCAATTTTTTTTCAAATTTCCAAGTCATGTAATGCGTTCATAATAACAATACTACATCATTACGTCACTGGTTATCAGTTTTTCAAATGAAATTATTAACGCTATGATAATCGCTGATTATTTATCAAAGCGTAATCATTTCATCGTTGACACTTTAGAGATTTAAAATTGTGACTAAACTAGTGCCTCCTCCACAGACCGATATGTTTGCCGATACAGACTTTCATGCAGCAATCACCAAATAGCCGCCATTTTGTCAAGGTCACATCTCCACCGTGTGGGAGGAAATGTCATCAAACAGTATCTCCATACATATAATTCTACTGTAGGTGTGTGTGTCACTGAACTCAGTGATTTTAATGAATTTCACTAGTTAGATTTTAATGAAATTTTTTGTGATTCACCATATTTTTTTAAGTTATCGGATTTAAGTCGCGTGTACAGGACAACGTATATCCGGTCCACTATTTAATTCATAAAATTCTAATCTCCAACCAAAAATCTTGAGAAATATTAGAACGGGATTCCATACACAGACTCACTTTATAATAACTTGATTGAAAACTCTGCACGTACTTTTATTAAATTAATTAATGAATCTTTTCAACCATCACAAACACTTGCAGTGGTTCACACAATAAGCCGTATCCAATCGATGGCTAGTTGTGTTTAAAACCTCCTTATAACACCCCGCATGCAGGCGATGTCACTGCACAATCGAAATGACGCGCAAAAATTCCCGCCATCCGAACCTCATGGATACATAAACCTACATAGCGCTTACTTTGGTTTCGTAAATCGGCGAAACGCATAAAGAACGACACTTTAGTATTTGTTGCATATTGTTATTTGCAATAACAAACATAACACGTTTTCGTGAAATAAAATATTTTCCATATTGAATTTTACATTTCCCTTGCATATTCGAATTAAACATTATTTTTAGTTTTTACAAAATTTATTTGCTTTTTAATATATTCATTTGGAAAAGTACCCTCGGACCTGCCTATTCACTGTCTGTCCGGGTTAGTACCCATTACAACCTCACAGAAGACCGGCGTAAAGTGCACAAAAAGTCGACAACGCATCGGCAACACTAACTGTCATCACATATTATATTTATTATTTAGAGGTTATCACTTAACTTAAAATGCACCGCTTGCATCTTCAAATGCATCTTTTTACATAAAAAATAAAAAAAAGGTATCGCATCATCTGTTCAACTCTAATTCGGTGATGGATCTCACGCTGCACATTAAAAAAATATATTAATAGATTAGAGTTCGGAAATTAAAAGCAAAACAAATGTGACAATGACACGACGGACGTTGTAAACGGTGAGAGGTTATAAAAACTCGAACATAGGTTAATCTAAATTCAGCTCGCGTCTAAT